AAAAGGAAACTGTGAGATGACAACCATATTCAGCTGGCTCTGAGCAGTAAATTCAATCCTGGTTTTTGGCAGCCAATGAAGCGCTGCCACTGTAAGACACGCGGAGCCAGTTGGAGTCAGTTTAAAACAATCTGGGATCTTGGAATATATAATTATGTGCACTTATGTGAAAAAGACAAGCATAAAAAAATAAAACAGAGACTGGCAGAAATGCGCTAAGGGAGGCGGCTCCTTTGTGTGTGTGTGATGCCGTGTTTCCACAAAGTCGAGCAGGTATGTGCTCCGAGGTATTGAAAATTTTTTTCCGGGACTCAGGTAGAAATACGATCCGATACCCACATCAGGCTGTGTGCTATGAATTCGATCCTATAGCCTCTTTGTGTGTGTATGTGTGTGTGTGTCAGCGTGTTTTGCAGCTGCATCGTCTGGACTCAATTCTCCGGTTTCCAACACAGCAAACATCCCTTTTAGGTTGGATGAATCCACAGAAAAAAATCTCTCCTACTTTTTAATTTGGAGTGAAGGAGAGAAAATAAAACAAGAATATTAATGTGTTCCTGTCTGATCTGAGAGCAGCTGCAGAATTACCAGCGGAGTTCAGGAAATACAGCGTATATAAAACACACACACACACACACACACAGACACACACACAGACACCCGGAGATTAGGTGGCAGATGTGTGAGTGCCAGAGATGATTTCTCTGGCTGCTCGTCCGGCCGGTCTCGTTCTGTTGGGTTCAGAGGCAGAGCCTTAAATGCATTCCTCCGTAAGTCAAACGGCAGCTGCGGCACAGCGCCAGCCATAAAACACACGCCCCGCAAACACAACCCGCACCGGAGAAGCGGCCATTAATTGTTCCGTTTGATGGGAGATTTAATCACGATGACTGTTAAACCTGCTGCGGCGCCTCAGAGCTTTTCTAACTGCGAGGATTCATCTGAATACTCCCCTCGTGTTTCCGGCACCTTCTGTCTGTGCCCTCAGCACTGGGGGGGGGGAGAAACACAACGAAAGACATCGAGGTCACGTCTGGTCCCCAAAATTAAGTCCCTGTTTGAGGCCGAACAAGTTGCTTTAATGCTTGAAAATAAACCAAAAGGCAAACCAAACTAAAAGAGAACATTTCTCATGATTTAGTCCATTTATACTCCTCCAATTCTCCAATCCTCCTCATCTAAAACTCCACAAATAAATCCAAGCCCTGCCAGAGAAACGCCGTTTTAAATATTCCCCGGGTCCTACCACAGGTCCTCGGTCAGGCCTGGGTTTGGACCTGGACACCATCAGTGTGACAGCTGAGCTAAAACATTGTTTTTTCCAGCTGTTTTCTGGATCCAGCTTTCACTGTCAGACAGCTGGACTCAAATTCGACTCCAGAATTATTTGGAATACAAAAAAAAGCCCAAATCATTGGTTTCCTCTGTGAATAACCTGGTCCTGGTCTCAACGAGCCGTGCTGGTTTTAAAGAAAAAAGGCTGAGCAGATCTTCTATAAAACCCTTATTTGTCCAGTCGTTTCCGATTGTGCTGAGATGAAATACAATATTTGATATTCTAACTGAGGCCCGTAGAGTCTGAGATGTTGCTCTTGGGTACTTCCGTTTTTCTCCGCATTACATCGTCTGAACTCCGTTTGAACCTGCTGGTAGGTCGACTCCAGGGAAGACGAGCAGCCGTCTTGAATAATAAACTCCAGCTAGTTTGGAAGGTACATCGTCAGTGTTCCCCGACTAATGGGCAGAAACAATTAGCCTCTCTGTGATCATTGCTGATGTCTTTACTCGCCATTCTGTTAAACACCCGAGGTCTACAGTCCACAAACCTACGAAAACAGTCTTAAAAAAAGGAAAACGCGTGCTTTTATGCTCACATTACATTAAACTAATCGAGTTCCTGAAACAAGAAGGGGAGCGCTTGATTTTTACTCCTTAATTTTGGTTACTTGACATCAAATAAACCGTCCAATAATTCCTTATCTGAGTTTGTATTTATCCAACTTCAAAAGCTATCAAGATTTAGATTATTTTTCTGTTTTGCCCTCATAGGTGAAGTTCAAAGTCCTTTGTTTGCTCCTGGCTGCATGTTGCCACATCTCTGATGGCCTCGGTCAGCTCCACTCACCGGGTTTTCCTTTTACAGTAGATTAGCATTTAGCTAAATGTTAACTCCTGAAGTCTCTAAGTGTGAGTGTGTGTGAGGACATGTGTGTGTGTGTGGTAATTAATAATTCAGCGTCCACTTACTGAAAGCCTTTGTCAAGCTTGCCCATGTTTGTTCCAGGGCATCACACGAGCAGAGCCCGTCTCTATTATTGCTGCATGAATGTTTTAAACCCCACGTGGGTGTCCTCACCCAGAGCGAGAGCTGGATGTCAGTTGTCCAGCCAGGCACTTTGCCTGCCGCCCGACAGCTCGGGTTTAAAAAGAAACGAGGAGGAAAAACGAAAAGAAAAGGCGAAAAGAAAAAGAACGTTCTGCTTTATTTATTTAAGAAAAGATACCAGAACGTTTAGTCTAAATCCACAAGGCTCGGACATTTGATCGAATCCTGGTTTTGGGTGATGGCGGAGCTTACAGGAAACCAACTCGCCATTTACCGAGTAAATCCTCACACGTCCTCTTTTCCTCCCCGAGTGGATCCCCGAACCCGGCGGCCTCTGATCTCCCTCCATCTCCTGCTTTTCTGCCTCCTCTTCCTCTCCAGCCTGACCTCCCTCGTCCACCAGCTGGGAGCCGGGCAGGAGGCCAATCTGGACGCCGGCACAGTTACAGCCAGACGGGAGCTGATAAAGGACAGCGAGCGTGTGTGTGTGTGTGTGTGTGTGTGGGTTACCAGGTGATGGCCTGGTTAAGACACCTGCCACCTTGAGCAGAGATTAGCACGGGAAGCCTCTGCGCCGGCACGCGTCCTGCGGCACCTTTCGGAGGAC